TTCTGTTACTCCTTAGATCCTAAGTTAGATACACGCTATTATCATGTACTGTTCAAGACCAGCTCACTTTACAGCATAAAACTATTTTAGGAAAATCATCGTGTTCAAAATATCGAAGTATAAATGTCATCATCCTCAATTAAGATTGACTGAGTCCACATCTATACATGGAATTGTTAGCTAATGCTGAACATCATACGTACATTTTGCACTCTCTGAGCTTACATCTAGAGTAGAGAACACTGTTGTGCACACGTGAAGGCACAAAACAGTTTAGTAGGAAGATTCTTGTTTTTTTGAAATATAAAGAGTTAATTTACTGTTTCAACAGCGATGTGCCCAGATAGAACTTGACTCCTTTGAAGGAAAGTTATAGTGACTGTGTTGGTTCAGATCTTTATATACTGGCAAGCACAGATTTCGAGAGGGTTAAGCTGTAGGTTCTTGCTTACTAACAGCATGTGTGATAAACTATTTGATAGTTTAAAACTTCTTACCTAGGACCATTATATGTGTATATGTGTGCATATATATGAGAGAGAAAGAGGGAAGGGGAGAGCGGGTTGCCTGTGACAAGAGTCATTGATTGATGACTTGAGAAGTTGCCAAGGCACCTGGTTCTCAGCATCTTATTGGTTCTCAATAGTTATTGAAAACTAAACAAGGTAAAATGTTAAACAAATCATTGTTATTCTAACAAAGATTCAGATCAATTTTGAAGGAGAACCATTGTTCAAAGAACACCACCACCATTATGATCCCTATTTTATGGATAACAAAATGGAGGCAAAGGGAAATGAGATAATTCTTCCAAGTCACGGAAGTAGTAAATTGCAGATGCAGGACTCAAATGTCTGTTTCTGAGACTCGGTTCTTGATTATTCGTCTAACTCTAGTAAAGGAGGGAAGTTGCTGGTTATTTGGAAATTATATTTAATTATTTGGGGGGAGCTGTGAATTTATAAAGTGATTCAAATTATTATTTTCTGTTCAAACAAGTTTACATTTCCAAAGCTCATACTATCTGATTAGGGTAAACGGTCTGTGGACACTCTTAGTAATGTAGGGAGTAAATATAGCTATGTACAATTTACAAACTGATCTATGAGTAAGGAAATGGAATTCACCATACTTCTTAAAAAGGGAGTGGAAACCTTATAATCATTTTAAATGTGAAAAGTCAATCAATCCACACACTTAAGACCAGTGAACAAAGAAACTGGAAAAAGGAAAGAGCCTCCTCAGTATAGGACAGGAGCCACGATAGGTACCATTGTGCTTACTGTGCACACGTACGGCATGCTCCCCTATATTTGGTAAGTTGGCAGATGAATAAAACTTATTTATCAAGAACCTTTCTACTTTTAATATTGGTCAAGGCATCTTTCTTTGGACCCTTAAATTTTGTCCACACTGACACACTCAAGTAGAGTATTAAAAAAAAAAAAAAGATCTGAAAAACTCAGGTAAGAATTTGGAGTTGGAACATGTGTTTCAAGAGAAGGAACTTTTTTTTTAAACTTTTCAGCCTCTTTTTTCCTTTAGCTGAATTAAATGAATTCAGCTGACCAGTTGCCTGCCTAGACTCAAATAAGAGAAATGAAACATAAGTAATTAAAATTTGGGGGTTTTATTTATTTCAACCTAAGTGAAATTTTTCTTTCCCATTCTCCTGTATAGTTTTAATACTTATGAATGTAGTTTTAATACAGGAAAAAATAGTTCTCTAACAGTGATTTTCCTTTAGTGCCTGTTTACCTGTCCCTTTAGTCAGTGAGTTCACAGACACAAATCTCTTCCACCCCTTGGAAGTATAGTTTTTGTTTTTTTCTTTCCAGGAAGGTGCTTTCTTAATGCATAGGAGTGCTCCCCTCCCACCAGAACATTCTTCAGAGCCCCCGTTCCTAAGGGTACACTCGGGACTCACGGGTGGGTCTTAACTGTGGACATCATCCCCCCAGCAGTGGCTGAAGGGGACCGAGATGTCTTAGCCCTTGGGAAACCTTGCGAGGGTGCCCTCTGGGACACAGCAGCCCCTGAGGGCGGGAACACCAGGCGCCCTTCCACAACAGCAGGGATCTCAGGCCGCGCAGCGTAGGCCACCCTTGCAGGGCTCCGTGCTGCCTCCTGTGGCTGGAGACAGCGTCAGATCCTGTAGCGATCACATGCATTCTGTAAGCGAAAACTGCCTCCTCTGGCCTGAGCCAACTGAGCATGTTCCCTCTGGTTACGGGAGGCCTGTCTTCTCTCCATGCCCCCCCACCCCGCTCCTGTCCCACAGCCCGGCCCCCCACAGGGCCTGGAGCTGCTCTGGTACCCAGTTGTCCTCAGTCTATCCTTACACTTCATTTCCCCAAGACTTTGGACCCCGTGACCACACACGCCTCTCTGAAGCCCTCTTCTCTTCTGGCGTCTCTTGGTTTAACAGTAACCCCGTCCTGACTCTCCATGTTCATGTCCTTCTTCTTCCCAGATGTATTTACTATTTCCTTTGCCTTTTTCACCCCTTCCCTGCACCTGTTCCCCAGGTTTCTATCAGACATTTTCTCCGTTCTTTCAGAATGACCTCTCCAAGTAATCTCATCGGTGTCCAAGATGTCAAGTGCAGCTTTCATTGATGGCTTTGAAATGGCTCTCCTAAGCTCTAGACACAAATCTAACTGCCTGTTAGACATAAGTTCTTAGGATTTTGTGAGCCAGCCTAGACATCTTCTTACCATTTCTACCATTACCCAGGGTTTAAATAATTTATACATTTTATACATACAGAAATTGAATAAGCAATTTATTAAACATACATTTCTTGTGCTATACTGGTTCTTACACAAGGGTCCTAAGATGTGATAAGCAGAAAAACTGTAGTGTACATAGACCCTGCAGAATTCTGTCTCTTAAAAGAGTGTTACCTAGTGCAAAGGATTTCTACCAGGGTGAAGGTGTCTTCCAGTGTGCATAAACAAATGTCTTTCTAGATAAGTAACTGGTCAAAGACATAATACTGGGATATGGTGAGGTCATATGTTGAGATTATCTGTGTATCATTTACAGTATTCTGGAGAATGTCTAGAATCTTGAGAATATGTGCAAAATATAATAAAAACATGTATGTAGCAATCAATATGCATATCAAACTCATTGACATTAGCATATGTAATTTTTATAACCATCCCATGAACAATGGGTCAAATGTTTCCTCAACTTGACTGATTTTTAATGAAATATACAACTTAGTTAAGTGACTTTTCCCCTCTTGTAATTTTCCAAACTTACAAGAGGGGTTGGTAATAAAATGCGTTGTTGGGGTGTGACTTTGTGATCCTTCCTCCTAAGGCACTTATGCTAATGAAGTAGCTGAATTTTTCAATGAATATATAATGTATTTCAAAAGTAGAAAACGTGAATTTTATAATTTAGATATCTCTGTATTTCTTCTTTCAAAATTCATGTCCATAAATCTCCCTGTTAGACTAAATGGGCAGCTAATTCTGTTCCCTGAAGATTTTCAATGATCTTCACGTGCTGGCATGAAAGTACAGTGAGGGGCTGAACCACAACGCCCTGGAGTTTGTCATCCTTTTCAGCCCTGCTCAAATTCCCTGAAAGGCACAAATAACACCAAACTCCTTCAGCTATCGTCCTATTACTACAGATGGAGCTTATCAAGCACATAATGGCCAGGACTTCACTTTTACCATGATTATTGATGTAGATTTTTTTTTTTTTTAATTTTAATGCTTTATTTTTGAGAGAGACAGAGCCTGGGTAGGGGAGGGTCAGAAACAGAGAGAGAGAGACACAGAATCTGAAACAGGCTCCAGGTTCTGAGCTGTCAGCACAGAGCCCCATGCGGGACTCGAGCTCCAGAACGGTGAGATCATGACCTGAGCTGAAGTTGGACATTTAACTGACTAAGCTACCCAGGCACCCCTAATAAGTTAGATTCTGAGAAACTTAAGAATTTAAATCTACTTAGTTTTACATAACCATTAATTTATTTGTGTATTCTACTTAAAATATTGACTTTGGAAAAGGAAGAGAAGAATTGAAGTTCTCATAAACAAGGCATTCCGAATGAGACTTTGAATTTTCAGACTATAACCTACAATCATGTATTATGTCCGACCTTACTATTTTCATAATGCCTGTGTCAAAGAGGAGAAACAAAGCTTTATCTACTAAGTGATGAGTGTTTTTAGTTTCTTCTAAACATAATAAATTCAGAAGATACCTCAGACAAATGTAAAACTGCTTTGAGGGAGAAATTTAGTTTGGAATGAAAATTGATTTCACATCTATGTATTTTATGTCTCTGTATTTGGTTTACATAGAATAGGATTTAACCAAAGATCTCTAGGTTGTGTGGCCAATAGCTTTTTACTCTTATATTAACAAAGATATTTATATCTGTGCCGCTTTTTAATAAACCCTGCAATAATTGAGGATTCTGAAAAAAATGCTTTTTCCCCAAACACACTGGTCTACTGCACCTCTGCTCCGTAATCCTTAGCTGGTTATCAAATATGCTTTGTAATAGTGACGTGAGAGAAGCATATGGACTATTTATTATTCTAATAAAGGATACTTACTGATTTATTTTTTTTTAATGTTTTATTTATTTCTAGGAGAGAGAGAGACAGCATGAGGAGGGGAGGGTCAGAGAGAGAGGGAGTCACAGACTGAAACAGGCTCCAGGCTCTGAGCTGGCAGTCAGCACAGAGCCCGACGCGGGGCTCGAACCCACGAACCGCGAGATCATGACCCAAGCGAAAGTCGGACGCTTAACCGACTAAGCCACCCAGGCGCCCCAGGATACTTACTGATTTAAAGCAAAACAGTTTTTACGGCGTAATCATAAACCAACTTCTGCAGCCTGCATGTGTATCATGAAGCACTATGTATCGTAAAGAATTAACCTCACTCTTTTTGGACTCCAGCATTTACCATAAAAACGCTGTCTAGCATCTATATAATTTTTTCTTCTTTTTGTCTCTTCTTTGTAGTTGTTTGAAATTACAGTGCCTCTCTCTCAAGGCCCCAAACCAGTAACAATCAGTTTTGCCAATCACACTTCCTGCCGATGCATGTCTAAACTGGACGTTTACAGACAAGTTCATTCAATTATTAGACGTTCCCTGCCAGCAACACTACCACAGTGAGTATGAATTAAATCTACTTTTTCTGTATCCTCTACTAATATAAAAGTATTTTCAAGTCAACATAGTTTATTAAAAGAATTTTTGTGAAACTTTCTATAATATACTTTGCATCAAATGCAAAAGACAAATTGGACAGTCTGCCATGAAAATAAAATCAAACTGAAACAGGGAAGCCCTTTTTATAGACAATCTAGTTAACAATATAAAGCAAGTATTTCTGTGGAATGATACACATCCCACCAATATTCTATTATCAGTAATTTAGCCTGATTGATCTAACACTCATGAAATCAAGTGTGCAAACTCATAAATGATGTTCTTCAAGCAAAAAACATTTAAGCCTCAGTAAGACTTTTGGTCCAAAACAAAAGGTAAATAGGAAAAAATTACTTCACATCTATTAGCATTCCGTTGTCTTTTTTCAATCTCAGTTGTCTTTCTCTGTCTATTCATATTGTTTATTTTAGCCAGGACTGAATATTGAAATGCTGATGAACTACTTGAAAGAAGTTTCTCTTACCATTATTTCAAATTAACATTCAAAGTACCATCTGTTACTCAAATTCCTTTCTCATCAAATTTTTTAGGCTTGTAAATGGCAACATTTGCTGCATTAGATCACATAGAAGGACCCGGAGACAGCATCGAGGGCGGACCCTGAATAGTGTCTATTGAGTCATTTTGCATTGTCATCAAAAATCTAGGAACTTTCTGTTCTGTGCCCCAACAGAAGGATTCAGCTCTTTGATCCTTAGGCTATCCAGTGCATGCAAACAACATTTACTAAGCTTTGACATCTATAACAAAATTTTCAATAAATTGATGGGCAAACATATATATTACCAAAAAAAAAAAAAGTTTTAGCCTTGCATTGTAGGGGACTTGACAATAAATGTGATAGGTTGAGAGCAGTCTTCCCCATTTCTCTTTACTTAGTGTGGCAGATAGGAGGCCTGATCTTTCCAGGGTCACTTAAACTAAGGATAGCGTCATTTGAGTGAAGTCTGTCCTTTGCGTGAGAACAGAAATCTCTTACAGGCTGCTGTGAATGAAACTGATGCTGCCGTACAGGGGGACGAGCATCCCCCCAAGTTGTTGTGTGTGTGAGTTCACTCACGCAGCTCTGAAAGTTGCCCCCTCCCCTGCCCCGTGGCGGGTGGTCGGTTCTGAGCACTTCAGCCGTTAATCCCCATGCTGACTGTTCCCAGAGTTATGATTTAAGATTGACTTAAAATATATCTGAATCTCCTCTATTGCTCTGTTTGTATTAGATATAATAGGTACAAAACTCAAAGATTAATTCTGCTTATTTCTAAATTATTCAAAGCACTTTTCTCTCCTGTTCTTTGAGGGCTTGAAATCATACGGCTGTCATTTCGCTTGTTTGTCCTGATTTTATTGGGGGGGGGGGAGATGGGAGATATTTGCTCCTTCCTAGACGTGTGGCTCCTTTCTGTCACTGCCATCCCCGCCCACTTCACTCCGTGTGCAGGTCTGACCTAATGCAGCGGTGTCGACGCCCATTTTCTCATGCCAGAACTTTCCCCAGCTCCTGTGTAATGTCACGCATAAGCTTCAGAAGGCATCACTCCCTCCATCTGACCACAAACTGTCCGTCGCTCTCAGCTGCTCAAAGACCTGCGCACAGATTACGTACCTCTGTGTCTTGCAATCAGACTTCCTTTCTTGTTTCACTTCTCATTTCTCACCACGTCTGGGTTTCACCAAGTCTCATTCCCTGAACACAGAGCTCATTTCCTGCCCTGTTTCTCCTTTCTGTCCTGGGCCTGGCTCACAATGAATTCCCTTCATGTTCTGCCTTCCCAAAGCCCCGTCCACTTCTCAGAGTTCAGGGAAGGGTCTCGCTCCGACGTTTGTCTTGCCCAAATGCAAGCCTCCTTTGCTTCCCAAAGGCCCGTGGCAATTACTGCATTTCCCTTGTCCTCACATGGATTTGTAGGGGTCCATAAACGTGGCATGTGCCACTGGGTGGTGAGCATTTCGGGTAGGTTTATAACCTCCACAGTCTCCAGCTAATAATGCTTGAAAATTATTGAGTCACTACTATACTTTCAGCCCTTCACATGCACGGTCTCACTGAGCTCCTCCCAAAAAGCATCTGTGAAGTTCGTAGTCATATTAGCTTTATCGTACAGATGAAGCAGGTAATCACACTCCAGAGTCAGGAACTAAAGAATACACTCAACTGATCAGCCAGTGCTTGTTAATATCAAATCACTTCTTTATCTGCAGTTTTGTAGCATTTGCACGTTTTCCTCAGATTTTCACCATTACTTACTCATATAACTACTGTGCCATAGGCTGTCGAAGGCTAGGAGAGACGAAAAGAACAAATCAAGCCTGTGCCTTACAGTGAGCCAGGTCTGAGCCTGAATTCAGGTTGGCACTAAGTCACTTTTTAAGGTTGGGTTATTTCATGTGTCTGTACTTCAGTTTGCTTATATGTAAAAGCACAAGGTTGTAAAGAGGAATGAATGAAGTACTCAGTGTGGTGCTTAGCCCAGTGCCTGGCGTCTAAGAGATAGCCAGTAAAAGGCAGATTGATTATTACCATTAAGATTCATATCTCATTCATCCATCTCCCTGTGTTTCCTCGTGGGTTTTTTTTTTTTTTATCACTATCTACAATAAAAAAAAAAAAGCATTTCACATTCCACATCAGTACTCACATGAATCTGTGTGGGTGCGATATCTATGTTTATTTAATATGCATAGAGCATACATAGTGTATAGATTTAAGTTAACTGTGTAACCTTACATGAAATTATAGTCATATATAACTGTAAAACAGAACATTATTTTAAAACACTTTCCTTTATTATAGAACTACCCAACTCTTTTTTCATGATCACCCCCTAAGATCCTTTTGCAGACCTTTTTTCAAATCTCCTCCCTCATAAAGTTTAAAACCATAAACCTATTCATATCACTTTATGTATCATATGTATATCTGGGCTTTATACATAAAAGAAGTAGGAAGTTTTTTAATGCAACATAGGACTAAAAATGACCCCAAAAATTATAGTTAAAAGTTAAATTAAAAATGTAAAAGCCATGAACATCAAACATAGTTTTGTAACAGTATTTGCTGATAAACCGTTAGGGCAAGTTATTTACTAATATAGCAGTAATATGTCATATTACATATGGAAAGTACCAATTGATATAAATATATAAAGATATGAATATATTTTTAAAGAAAGCATTCCAAATAGTCATCTTTCCAGGAAAAGGATACTTTTTAAAATAATCTACGTAACATTCTTTAGAAAACATCTTTTGCTTCATATAAGAAAACAACCTGTTACTTCTATGACTTTTGGATGCTCACTTAGTGTTACCACCTTGTTTTTCGCAGCATTTGACATACTAATGGCTTGAATAACTTCTGTAGAACTAAATAATAAAAACTATTTTTACTTATTTCCCTAAGCTCACGTCACCCACAAAACCCCAGGGATCAAGCACTGGCAACAGCCCCAAGGCAGCCCACAGGCAGCTGTTGCTCTGTGACCTTGAGATGGAGCACTCAAGTCAGAGAAGGTCCTTCGGTGACAGCCCTCTGTTCACTATAATTTTATAACCCTTATCTTGCATACACTTTGGATATCTTCAAGGCCAAGGCTGCTCACGTGACAGCCCATAAAGCCCAGCAGAAATTAAATACTGATTCAGAAGCTTTTGTTGGGTTTTGGAGAGCCAAAAACCACTGCAACATTGAAGATTCTTCTGCCCCCGTAACCAGTTTTTACTCCCTTATTGATGATACTGTCCCCATGTGAATGGGGCATGACGCATGCAGATACTTTCTCCTTCTTTTCTGTTTCTCTCTCTCTCTCTTTTTTTTTTAATGTTGGTCTCCACTTATTGTGAACTGTGGCCCACAATTTAATTAAAAACTACTTTCATAGCGATTTATGTATGATGAATATAGAGCTATGTTATAAAACCTTTTCTTAGAAATAAAAGGAATTGGGCCGCCTGGGTGGCTCCGTCGGTTAAGCGTCCAACTTCGGCTTAGGTCATGATCTCACGGTTTGTGGGTTCGTGCCCCGTGTCAGGTTCTGTGCTGACAGCTCAGAGCCTGGCGCCTGCTTCAGATTCTGTGTCTCCCTCTCTCTCTGACCCTCCCCTGCTCACACTGTCTCTCTCTCTCTCTCAGAAATAAAAACATTTTTAAAAATTTTTAAAAAAGAAATTAACAGGAATTGCCACCACAGTGGCCAAAATTAAAAATAATGACAAAAGCTAGTTCTGGAGAGGACGTGACGCCATGCTCATGTTAACGGGAATGTAAAATGGCATAGCCACTTTGCAAACCGTTATGGCAGAGTCTCAAGAACTTAAATATACACTTCCAATATCATCCATAAATCATCTGAAAACACATTTACACACAGTAACTTGCACACAAATGTTCACAGAAGCTTCGTTAGCCAGTAACTAGAAACAAGACAAATATCCGTCAGAGGGGAATGCATAAGCAAACTGTGGTCCATGCATACAGTGGGACATTCCTGAGCAGTACAATCCACATGAGCTGTTGACACGCCCACCAGGAATGGGTCTCCGAACACCAAGCTGAGTAAAGGAAGCTAGACTAAAAACTACATGTTACATGATTCAATTTACATGAACCCTCGAGAAGACAGATATCATCTAGATTCAGAGAAAGCACTTTGGGAGTTGCCTCATGTGGTGGGGACTGACTAGAAGGAGCAAAGGGAAACTTTGGGCGATAAAACATTCCATATTTTGATTGTGGTGATAGTTACATGGGTGCATACGTTTGTAAAAAAAAAAAAAAAAGTGAATCTAAAATACAAGCATTTTACCGTATGCCAATTTTTTCTCAACAAAATGGGGCTCTGAAAAGCCAAGAGAAATAGACCTGTTTTATTAACCTGTTTTATTAACTATAGTTTTGAAATTCATGTAGGTTTATAACGGTAGATAGCTTAAAATCTTTATGATA